CCCAGCCTGTCCTGGTGCATGGGGTTTTTCCTCCCCAGGTGCAGGACCCTGCACTTGCCTTTGTTGAACTTCATGAGGTTCCTCTCCGCCCAACTCTCCAGCCTGTCCAGGTCCCTCTGAATGGCAGCACAGTCTTCTGGTGTGTCAGCCACTCCCCCCAGTTTTGTATCATCAGCATATAACTATGCTCTTATAAAATGGGACTAGCTGAAAGAGAACTCTTAGGCCTATCAAAGAGATGATCAAAGAGGGAGATTGCAGAAGCGTTAAAACTTACAAATGTTATGGAAAAAGTGAACACAAGTATAGTTATGCAAGGCCTAAAGCTAGAAAATGAAATAAACAGAGCGACTTCAGAGCAAAAAATAATTATCCACAATTAATAGTAAGTAATAAAGTTACAAAACTTATTGTTCCCAAGATGTTGGGGAAGCCGTAAGTTCATCTAGGTTCAGATAGCAATTAGATAAATTCATGGAAGAAGAATCTATAAAGGGCTCTTAATTGCAAAGATACAGCTTCCTGTTCAGGAAGTCTTAAAACCACAGTTTGCTGCAAAAGGAAGGGTGTGTTGCAAAAGTATGGCTTGCCCTCTTTCCATTTTTGCCCTTTTATTGGCTACTGCCAAGTCAGATATCATTTTGCATGGATTACTGCTTAGAACCATTCAGCCATTCTCATGCTGTTATTTATCTTTTCTCATTAACTCTTTCTGCTGATCAGTCCAGCAAAAGTAGACAATCTCTTAGTTGTACAAGTAGGATATATAGCTCTTGGAGTAAAATGAGTCTTACTGCCCTGATTGAAACATTTTTTTTTTCCTAGTCATACTGGCTAAACTTGAGAGATCGTATGTCCAGCTTTACCTACTGAAAAAAGTAAAAACCCCCCCCCCCCCCCCCCCAAACAACAAAATGTTCTTGGTTGGGCTTATAGAAGAGGGCATATCAATTGTCCGTACCATGACTTTTCTGAATAGCTTCAAGTAGTTGTGAGACTAAGCTTACAGACAATTGAACAGGTCATTGGCATATGAAATCAAGTTATCCTGATTTTTAAAATTTGTAAACACAGTATTTACTCTCTAACAGAAATTTGTCCTCAAAAAGCATTGTTCTACCTCCTGACTAATCTAATTTTACACATCTAAAAGCTTACCTCCCAGTAAAGAGACTGATTTCAACTACACAGCTTGCTCATTAGTACACAGTTACCATGATGCAATTTGCTCCAGGCTTATGCCTCAAGTTTCAGTCTCTATTTGTGTGCCCATAGCCTTAATTATCTTTTAAATTACTTTGCCATCCGTAGGGAGGATTTACTACCCAAAGCAAGATGTATTTTTTATATATTGCTGTAAGAGCAGAAGTAAGGCTACAGAACGTGAGTGAACACAAATTCCTGACCACACATCTCCCAGAGAGGTTGAGCAGCAATTATGTTCTGTATTTTACTCTGTGAACTAGCACTGCCTTTTTCCTTTAGTTCATTTATCTAAATCCAAGTTTTTGAGATCAGGAGTAGTTTTGATGCTGGCTTACTAGCAACAGGACTCATTCAGCCTCTGTGACATTTTGCTTAGGATTGCCTTCTCTTTCCACTGTATCATCTACCTGTTTATATACCATAAACTTCAATCCCCCACTATACTTGTGTTTTGTCTTAAATGGCACTTTCTCGATCCACAGCATTACCTCAGATTATATAATGCTGTCTCTCCTGTTGAAAGACAGATGCTGAGGAGACTGTCCTTTGACTGATTTTGCTGGATTGAGAGTAAGTTGCTGTAGACTTTTTCCCTTATACCACCTCTTCTTGTAACGAGTCTGCCCTCTTGACTATCAGAGCATCTTAACTCAACTCACGTACATTTCTTTGCTCCCCCAAGCAGTTATCTGGCCAGAATTAGCATGGTGATTGGGCTAAACATTTGGCACTCCCTGCCCTGTCTGCACAGCTGTCTTTACTTATGTGTGCTTTAAGGTGGCTGGAAATACACAGAGGATGGAGGTGTTTGATGCAGAACTTGTAGTGATTTGGATGGTATCAGGAATATAGAATTATAATTTCTATTAACTGTCTAAAACATTTGTGATTTCAATTCAGAACTTAGAGGTTTTCTGTATTTGTACAAAGAAAATTATAATGTATATGAAAGCTTTATTCTGGGGGTGGAAGGGAGGCGTGGAAGCCCTCCTTCCTTTAAATGATCTCAGCTGTTTACCTGGATATTTCTTTTTTCGGAAATCACTGGGTAATACATAGGAATTCTATGAGTTCTGTCTTGAGAGTCGTCAGCTCTCATGCTTTACCCACTTTGTTATATAAGATCCTTAGATTTTTAGATTTATATATAAGATCCATAGATTTTTAGCTTCTGATCTGTTACCTGTCCATTTGCTTTTACTCCTGTCAGAAGATTCATCCAACTTCGAGTAATTAAATCTGAGTCATGAATCCTTGGAAAGTGCAGAGTACTCCACATGGAATGAAGTTTCACTGTGAGTTATTGGTGGATATCAAATATGGAACTTTAGGTACTGAAACCACCCAACTATTTTGTGTGACAAAGGGAAATTCCCAGCTTTCACTTACGAATCAATCTATGCAGTTGCTCAGATCAAATATTTAAAGGAAGTGTGATCAAACTAGTCAGCTAAGGTATCACGTGTGCTGAACTTTAAAAATGGCACATTTCAGAATTAGCATTTTTCTATAATGTAGTATTAATAATAGTTTAATTATGAATGTCTGGGTATATATATAGCTGTCTTCATGTCTTCACAGTTATCTACAGTGAAAGGTTATGAGAAGGATCTACTTCTCTTGGTAAGAAAAAGATTGAAAATCCTTTGTAAATCTTTTGAAGGTGTCAAGAATCAAATAAGAAATAGAAAAAAATGCTTGAAAAATGACAAGGGACTTCTGGAACATCAAATTTATTGTTCCCAAATCTCTTGTGAAATGGAAGATGTATAGAGATGCAACATAAAATTTTGTGCAGATTAATTCAGTTTCAGGTAACTGAAATGCGTCCACCTGGGACAGGGAAAGGTGGTAATGGGCAGAAAGGTTGGTAGTCTAACCTGGAAAGATCTTTAACTCCAAAGAGACTGAAGCACTTCCACAATCATTTATTTAACTAAAGATTTTTACTCTTTTGTTTAGATAAATTTATGTTACTGAAAGTTTAAAGGTGATGTTTCTTTAGTTCCTGCTTCATCCAGTACTAAGAGTTACAGGTCTTGCAATCAAGTATGTCTTCTCCTGCTGATTGCAAGATGAAAGAAAATGTGATAATGGCTATTTGCAATTAACTCCCTCAGTTTCTCTAATTTGTTCAAAGAAAACCAAGTGTTCAGGAAGAAACAGTAGCTAATTTGCTTGTGTGACACTTCTTTTGCTAATTGTAACTGCCTCTGCCATCTCAGAAAAGTAATAGTTGGTATGACTGTTAAAGAGATTGTTTGCTGGTGACTTACAACAATATCAGTTACTTGTGAGTAATTCCATAATACTGCAAGGGGAGCATGGTGTTAATAAGCATACAAGAAAAAGAATAGATAACTCACTTTGCCGCTTGTTTTCCCATGCAGTAAAGTTTCTCTCCTGGGTACCAGCAGTGATAATGGCAGATGCACGTGAGCCTGGCTGCTTTTTGCAGTCCATTCCCCTTGTCTCCCTCCAGCATCCAAAGTTAATGTAGTATGGATATTGGGGAGTATATCCCTGCCTAGTCATTTTAGTATCTGTATATGGACCTGTTATCTACAAATTGGTGCCACCGCTTTTTGGAAGTACTTTCATTTATCTTTTTTAAACTGATTGCCTACAAATTTCATCAAGTGTCCCTAATTTTAATATTACAAAATGTGGTAAATAGCAGTTCAATACAGTATTGGATATATTGGGCCCCCACAGTTTTTCGGAGCAACCAAATTGTCATAAATATCCATTATTCTCTATTATTGTCTATTCCTTAAAAAAAAAGACGACTAAGTCTTTGTTGTTTTGTTTACAGAACAGAATATTTCATTGTGCCATCTGCAGTGCAGATAAATCTTTTTCCTGACTGTTTATCTACTTCACAAGCCAGAAGTTTGTACCGAAACAAACATGACAAATGGGTCTATTTGTAATTATAATTAAAGAATTAAACTTATGATCAGCTTAATTGTATTTTAGCTTCTCTACAGCTCTTTTTCCTATTGTGAATCAAGCTGTAAAGTAGCAATGAGGTAATTTCTAGCTAGAGCATAACATTCAAAAAGACAGAGACATTTAGAAAGAAAAATCTTACTGACAATCTGTATAATATGTGAGGGAAGCAATCAGATGGAGAGAGGAAATGGAACGACGGCCTCCAGGAAGAGCAGGGAATTAAGGCTATGGTTTCACTATAGCAGGGAAGGCTCTATTTTAATAGAGAGATCATCCCCTTGAGCTAATGACCTTTTAGACCATGAGGTATTATTATGGCAATATACCAGCTGTAACAAGGTCAATTATTAGCGACCAAGCATTCAATATATTTGACACTGCATTTTCAAACAATTTATAGTCTGGAAATAAGGAGAAGATGACACTGACCACTTGATTCTCTTCAGAAACATTTTGTGACCATCTCTGTTATTGATCCTTCACTTCTTTTTTGTTCCAAGCAGAAGTAATAGAGCAGATCTAAAAATAAAAATTAATGGTAAAAATTAATTTATTTCTTCTTTTGTACTTCTACATGTCAGTGAAGATCTATATTTTAATTTAATCACAGATATGGCTATGTTGATTATATATAACTATAGCAAATCTTATGTATCTGTTTTGAGTCAGTTTAATCAAAAGTACTTTTGTCTCAGTTTCTGAGATCAAATACTTGTGGATTGGAACTTAGCAGCGTTACAAATATTTACTGATATGCCTGGTGCAACGGACAGCATTTTTCTGTAGGAGTTCATGACCATCTGTGAGCACGTGCTGAAAATTTTAATGCTCTCTTACAGCTTTTGCAAACAAGACAAGTTGCCAATTACTTTCCAGTCCTGCGTGATCACTAAGGAGTGTCAGGTGTCCGAATGGTCTGAATGGACCCCGTGCTCCAAAACTTGTTTTGACATGACAACCCCTAAAGGGAATCGTACAAGGACACGGACCATTAAACAGCTTCCTATTGGCAGTGAAAGTGAATGCCCAGAATTAGAAGAAACGGAACAATGCGTTTCTCAAGGAGATGGTGTGGCACCGTGTATTATGTAAGTTGGCTCCTTTCAGTTCTCCTGATGCTAAAATGAATAGTTTAAATTAGGCGTGCGAGGGCTGGGATCTTAATATCACCCAAATCATTATTAAAGCTGCTTAGAAATAATAGATTTGTTTTTTTATGTCTTTTGCATATTCAGTGCTGTTCTTAAAAGGCTTAAATCTGGAAATAACTGCTATTATTGTGAAATCACTTCTGCTCTAAATGTGGGAAAAGTAACAAATGCATATATCTTTGTTAGTGTTAAATTTTTACAGGAAAACATGTTTGTATGAACATGGACGCACGCAAGGGCCATAATAAATCAATTTTATTTATTTATCGGTGATCTTTATCCTGCATAACATTTCTTATAGAATCATTGTTTTCTGAAATACTCTATTTGCAGACAAAATGTGGACCATGAGAAAGAGTGGATAAAAATCTGTTTAGCAGACAGACTTTTTTTAGTGAGACTTCAATTAAGGCAGGACTGGGCCCCCGACGAAAAGTGGGAGAGGCTAAAAGCAGCAGTAAATAAATTAACCCTGTTTAAAGTTTAGGAGAAATGACAGCAAGCACTCTATATGCAAGAGATTGACCTAATCCTTATCAACTAATTGAGATTAATATTAGAGTCCCAACTGTGCTTTTTCTTTATCAGACTGAAAAGAGGGTCTGGGGAAATGTCATTTGATGTTAAGCCATTTTGCATCTGTATGCCTAACTGTGATGCATAATTTTCATTTAAGAGCTGAAATGTCATCTTTCCCCATCTCCAGCCACGTTGGGAAGCAGTTCACTTGATTTAGCCCTACGTACTTTTTGGGTAGAGAATTCTGTGGCATTTCTTGCAGTTTGTAATCCTGATTGGGGTTTAAACTTGGAGTCACAGATCTCCTTTCTTGTGCATTCACTGATTAGTAAGCTCACAGCTTCTCATTATTCATCAGTACCCAGCAGGGAGGCCTCAGCACTGCAGAGAAGCCATCTTCATCTTGACAGTGAAAAAGGAACTTAATGAAATGTTTTCTGAAAAAAAAAAAAAATACAATTATAGTTTTACCTTGATATTCAGGGGAAACTTCTGTGTGTCTTATCAAGGATGAACTAGAAGTTTTGGGAGTTGGGTTGCTTTTTTTTTTTTCTTTCCCCCATCTCCTCTTCTAGCTCTTATGTTTCTCAGTGTGCACATTTGTTTGATATTTTTATTTTATTTCATATTAACTGTCTAGCTCGAAACAAATGCTGAGAGTCACAGTCTTGAAAGTTAGCTTATCTAAACATAGACCTGTGTTTCTCTGTATATGAAGATTTTCTTCACTCCAATGGAATATTTATATGTACAGTATGTTTCAGGAATTGGACAGGAAAGATCTGCCTAAAAAGTAATGATTCGAAAGTGAAGTAACAGAGACAATGTTTCCACTTGCATGGAATATCAAACTTAGTGCATCTTTATGCACGAGAAATTGTGGGGCTCCGTCCTTTTAGAAAAAAGATGAAAAAGTTAAGGTATTTTGACTTGCATAACTTAGTGCTGGGTAACATGGCTTCACGTTCTTTAAAGACCTTATTCACCAAATTTGATGCAGGTATGGTTGGAGAACCACAGAATGGACAGACTGCCGTGTTGATCCTTTGCTTAGCCAGCAGGACAAAAGGCGAGGAAATCAGACAGCGCTGTGCGGAGGTGGCATTCAAACCCGGGAAATGTACTGCGTGCAAGCTAATGACAATCTCCTCTCCTATTTAAATACCCTCAAGGAAAAAGAAGGTAAATTTGATTCACTTGCAAGTGAATTAGTATGAAATCAGAGCACTTCACCATTCCAGAGCTCCTTGACATCCTATGTCTTGTCACAAGTGCCTTGTTTCATTACAAGTTACTGTCATCTATGCTTAAAAAAAAGCTAGTTGAAATGAAAATATTTAATTGCAGGAGCAGAGATTTCATTATTTATTCTGCAAATGTTGGTTCCTAGCTATGAATTACTTTTTCTTAATACTTACAGCAAAATGTTGTCTTACATGTAGGATGTCTGTCAGTAAAAAAAAGATCATGGGAACATGGGTTAGGAATCCTAAATTCTAATCCTTAATCTGCTTTGAATATCCTGCGTGTCCTTGAGCTGGCCGATGTACTTTTGAGGTTTGACGTGCAGGCAGAATATGCAAACGCTGGCATGTAAACTCAGTGTAGAACTATATGAAAAATACATATTTTTTCATCCTCAGGGAACTGATTTTTTTTCTTTACTTTATTTGGTCAAGTATTATCTTAAGTCATTTTGAGGCCTTTAAGTCAACACAATTTCATGGGTTTATTTCCCAAACTGAAAGATGGAAAAGTTTATTCCTGAAGAACTTGCTTGAAATTACAGTGCGTATGCAGGCTGTACGGCTACTTAAGAAAAGAGAGAATAGTTTATGTGAAAAGTTCTTCAGTTTGTTTGGAAATGTAATTATTAAAGAACAAAACTTGAATATTTTGTATGACTTTTACTACTGCAGAATAATGCAGTACTATAATTTAGAAAGGACAGTGAATTAAACTAATTGCATTTACCTGATTAACTTAAATTTTATATATTGTCTTCTATAGCTGAATTATACAAATACTCATGATTATTAAAAATATATATATAGCTTCATACACCAGGAAAAGAGACATCCTTAAATCATTCATGTGTAATCAAACATTTAGAACAGAGTTGACCCAACTGCAATCTAATGAGATTTCTGTTGTGGGTTAATGTACTCTTGAAGTTTAGTGTAGAGGTAGAGTTTATGGAGAATGTCGATGCCAAAATGCATTTCAGCACGACTGCTTGGATCAGTAGGGTGTGACTGGTACGCTCGATGGGCCCCACATCTGTATTTATTACAGAAGAAGTTATCAAGCCATTTCATTTATTGCAAATCAGCTTCAGCCCAGGGGCTCTTAGCAAGCCACTGCTGTGGAACAAAGTTTAGATGCCCCTGCCTTAGAGTAAAGGAGTAAGAATTCTCGGCTAAAAGAGAGGTAACAATAAAATCAAGGACAGCTTACTGTTCAGAATAATGATTAGGATTTGGGTAGCCTGTGAAGTCTTGCTGGCTTAGGCTGGTGTGAAATCTGTCCTTATCAGAATGTGACAGGAATATGCAGAGCCCGTCAGGAGGTAATCTCTGTAGGCCCCGGAAAGCTGATTAAAATGTAACTAGTCTTTGGATGCATAAACATGAGAACAATTTTTTCAAGAGCTCAAACTAGGGGTGAAGTGGATTTTAGTTTAAAAACCTCTAGGGATGTTTCCATGTTAGGGACAGATTTAAAGAGTGCCGCTTCTTCACCCTTCTTTTCTCCCTCTCTCTCTCTCTTTTTCCCCCACTTCAGATTCAGAGCAGGGGAAAAGTGATACAATGCGTCCGCGTCCTTGCAGAAGCAATTAAATCCGTGCCTTTAAAAATGATATGATACATAAGACGGGGCGTGATTGCAGATGGGACAAAAGGGGAGGGACATCTACTGTTCCAGCAGTGGGAAACGCCTTCGTTCCAGTGTAGCTTGCCGTTCCTAATAGTGTTGTCGCAGGAAGGCTGCTTTGAAGACCTCAATTCTCATATACTCATGGTGGCGTTTCCCTGTTATTTCAGAAAGTCAGTCACAGAGCAAGTCGAAGGCTAGTGCTGCACCACTGCTATCGATCACTTTTGAAATAACAGGTAGGTAAATTAAGGCCGTTGACCTGGCCTTTCGTTCAAAAGTGTGCAAAGGAGGCAATGTCCCTTTTGGGGGAACCATGCTGGCTGTATGTGTAGTAACAGCTCTAAAACAGCTTACTGAAATTGTGTGTTCTCATAGAGTTAAAAATTCTGGAAGAAACAAAAGATCAATTTGAAAAGTGAAAGGCCTGAACATAAACTGATGGAGGGCGTGAACCACCTGCGACCTAAGAGCAGCTCCTTTTCGTCACTCTTTAATCAGTTTTAGCAAGTGACTAGTTTTGTCTCGATTCTAAGCTTCGAGTCCAGCCCTTTTTGCAGATTTGAAAAATTGAGTTATGGCCCCAGTAGGAATTTGAACTTCAGATACTTACTTGTGCCTGAATTCCTAACAGCATTTGTCTTTGTATAATCCTTCATATCAGAATTTATACATTTAGACTTGAGGAAGAAGAGGGAGTGTTGGATATAGTAATTAGATAGCTGAAAATCCAGATTGCTGGATGCCTCTGTTATTCTGCCCTTTACTTGACCCTGATTAAAGTAAATAGTACAAACTCTTTTCACCTATCTATTTAACTAGTTCAGTCCTGAATTTTCTCTCACAGTAAACCTTTGTGGTAGAGTGTATAGTCTTTTTCAAAGTACCTTTAAAACTCTTTGTGCAGAATGAGCGTGGGAGGAGAGTTTCTTTAGATGCATACATTTATTCCACATCTGCAAACACACTCATTATCCCACTAAACACAAAGGACCTGCTTACATGCATAGAGTTAGCTGGTTGCTCGGAGGGCCAGGTCCTGAATTACCTATGTTTTCATAACACCACGAATAGTTATAGAAAATGGGAGAAGAATGTGTACGCTTCCGTTGTTGATCACAGTGCGTTTTGGGCTTAGGCTTCTCTGTTTTTTTGGAAGGAGGACAGTTTAGTCAGAGAAGTATCGCTCCGTTGGTTGCTGTGAAACTGGTGCAAGTCATGGCCAGAAAGAGGAAAAGGAAGCTGACTCCGCTTTTGCTGGTTCAGGCACAAACAAATGGTCTCTTTGTGCCAGCTTGGTCATTACTGGGCACTGATCTGTTGGTGGTTCCTGAAGGAGAACGGGGAGGTTGAGGCCTCAATAAGTACAGCAAATGCTTAAGAACAGAACTGAGTTTTGTCTTTTTCAGCTATTTTTAAAATGTAGTCATTGAGTTATGAATATACTTCTTTTGTTTTATCTTCTTTTTTTTTTTTTTTTTTTTTACTTTTTTGAACTATGTTTTATGACATTAGTTAGGGACCTGTTCAAGCGCTGGAGAGCCTAGAAAAAGCTCTGCTGATCTATGACTGCGTTCTGGAGATTATTGTTCACTCTTTTCCAGCCATCCACTGGTAGTTTCAAAGGAACAAATCTTAGCTTGTTGGGGTTTTTTGTTTGGTTTTTGTTTTTGTTTTTTTTAAATTTATCCCAGTTTGAAGAGGAGGAGATGTTCTATAAGGGGATAAAATATAATCAGCTAAAATTTGGTTGGATGGTTGGAGGACAGGGTGACTGAATCTCATGTTGGTTTTTAAGCAAGTACCTCAAACCTGAAATTCGTTCAAAACTGAATGTAACTTTTTAGATGGACTAAAGGAGAAAGAATTGACTGAAAGGCATTCAGTTTTCTTTCCATTTTTGACCAAAATTTGGTCAAATGCCACCCAGTCTAATCAGCATTCGGCATCGCTGCCAAGGAATAAAACACAATCCTTATTGCCACCACAAGAGAATACGAAAAGACAGAGATAAGACGAGGATTTAAACTATAAATTTCTGCATCCAACATCATGTCTCAAAGCATCTTTGCTAGAAAATGAGCAACAAAAATTGAGTTTGTTAAAACTTCTGTGAAGCTGGAAGAAAAACATTTAAAGTAATCGGAATGAGGTGTTCCTACAATATCCAGGGAAAGATAAGTTTTCTCATTTTACTGTCATTTCGAAAAAGAATTCTGAATAATCCAGGGTGAAGTAAACCCTGAGTCTTCAATTATGAAAACATGTTTATGTAACTTGGAAAATAACTTTTCTCTACTAATATTGTATTCTTTTTTTTTTTTTTTTGAAAGCAATACGTAATAGACCTGGTAGCAAGCCCCTTGTACACTACTGATGTGCCAAAAGCAGCATTTCAAAAACTTTTTGGCATTTTGACAGATATATTAATACCACTTACCTGTTCCCAAAGCACTTCTTGTTTCCCTTACCCTCTAAATGAATGATGGAAATGGCAGATGTTTTCAAAAGGTGTTTTTGTGAAATGTTTATTTAACAATGTTTGCTGACAACACCTAGAACTCTTATGGGACAAAAAGCTCCAAAAAGGTTGAAATAGCTTTTCTTTTATCTGAGTCAGCTTCTTTTAAAAACAAACACAATCACAGTTCCTGATATTTTGGAATTTCAGGACAGTAAGCAATGTAGCTTGAAGGCAGATGGATTGGTGCAGTAGTGCAGTAGTATCCTCTGTTTGTAAACTCTTTAAAAATTCTGGTTGAGATACGAACATCTGTGATATAAAAATCTGCTTTTTAAATCTTCCTGACAGAGGGCTTTGTTATTTTTCTGGGTGCTGTTCTGTGAGCTAGTGAGAATAGAAGTGCTTTATCCTAATGCACATTTGAGATCAAGCAAGGTGTTCCGTGAGAGTGCTTTCCTCATTCCCTGAAGCAAGACTGCATCTCAGAGGTGTAATTGACCCCTAATTTCAGTTGTATAACTTGGGCAATTTCCTGATTAAATAAAGGTTACAAACTACGGTTATCAATTACTTACTATTTTTTCTTTTCTTATTAGAAACTCTTCAATACAAATTCAATTAGAGGCAAATTATGTTCATGTTCTGTACAAGATGAGCATATTATGTTGATTATTGTGCACGTTAGGCATGCATGTCGAACTTTTTGTAAAATTCAGTGTTCTCTCATAAAGTTTACTTCCCACAAAGTATTGTGCAAACGTTGGAACAATTTTTCCTGTGCTGTTTTGTGGTAAGAGATAGGTGATGTGGAGGCAGTAATGGTTAATGATTATCTGCCATCTTCATGCCTTCATTACACTGAGCAAAACAGTGTAAAACTGCCAAAGGAAGGAAAATTTGAAACTTGTATGTGTAGAGTGAGGATTTTTCATTCCCTGTTCTCTTAATAAGTTAGAATGGAGTACTTTTTCTATAACTAAAAAGACCATCTACGTAGAAAGTCAGAATAGAAAGGAACACACACATATTCAAATGACACAATACTTTATAACAGCCTGATGTTTACTTTAACATCGTGTCTGTGGTTATTGGTCTGTTTTTTTCAGAGGGATATTTTGTCATCCTTACTTCATTTGAGTAGCAGCCTTCTTCACAATGTATTTAATCAGTGAGCTCTTTCATCACAAGAGATCATTTTTAACGATGGCACAAAATTAATGAGGTAAATCTGTTGTGGAAAAGTTGTGATGGAGTAGGATGATAGTGCTTAAAGTTTAGGAACTGCGTGTTTTTTCAATCAACCAAATAGGAAGAACATAGCCAACTTCTCTGTGTATTCTTTCAGTTATTTGCTGCTTAGTTTGATATCTTGTAAAGTCTATTGTTATGAAAGAGGATTAAAATCTTGCTTGTAATGAAATTTTGCCGCATTCTGCTTTGGAGCTCTTTGCCTTAATCTGGCGTCTTACAGGGTTGCCCTGTAATTTGTGGAATCTGGAAACTCAAGCGCAAATTCGCCTTCTGCTTTGACATGGAAGAAGCACGGTGATTTTGGTCTGTTGCATGATACTTAAAGAACGGAAGAATCTGTCTTCATAGAAGCTTTCTAGACATGTAATAATACATTAATGAAAAATTAATTATCTTGTACAGGGTTTAATTTATTTTTAAAATATTGTGCATAGGTCTGTGTGTAAAACCAACTTTTTTTGAACTAAAGCTGCTCTTGCACAAATCTTATTGAGTGTATACTGAAGGTCCTTAGAGTAAAAGAAAAACAAAATTTTGTCATCATTTTAAGCATATTTCAGTTTGCAGCTTAAAAATAACCTTTTAAATGTTCATTAGCTAGACTTCTATTTTTTAAAGTATTATACAGGAGTAAGGGGATTTATACAGCTTTTTGTTCAGTTTCTTCAGTGAAGATATAGTAAGACAGCAGGACACTGATTTACACAGAGAGCAGTGTGAACAACCGTTGTAATAACATAATCTATTCGTTAAATGAAAGGACTGGGTCCTAAAGGGTGCTGCAATATCTACAGTCTTCCTGATTCCACCTAATCGGATTTGGCTCTGTTCATGCAGAGAGTTAACTGACTTCTGTTTTATTTTTTCAAGACAGGCGTTCTCCCATCACTTCATCAGATTAAAATGATGAGATAGCAGCTTTTCTGAGTGAAGGATGGTTGTGCTGACGTAGAGCAGAGGATCGTGCAAGCCTGAGAAACGTGTTGTCCTTGTTTCCACAGCTTCTCGGCCCGTGGACCGTAAGCTGTGCACGGGACCTCTGCCCAGCACCAGCCAGCTGTGCCACATCCCCTGCCCCATAGAGTGCGAGACCTCAGCGTGGTCAGCCTGGGGACCGTGCACCTATGAAAGCTGTGATGACCCACAGGCCAAGAAGGGTAGGTAGAAATTCAGAGACGCTTTTTAATGATGATTATTTAATATGCCTAAGTCACTAGGCACCCCTGGCTATGCAAGCGTACTAATGTTTGTACCAAGAAAAGTGTATCCAGTGCCTCTGAGCATCGTGAGAGTCATCAGGTCAGTACCATGTTGTTCATTACTGCTTCACCAAAACTGGCAAAGCATCGACCCAATATTGAGCTGTCAAGGTCAATTTGGGCAATTATAGGTCAAATCCAATTTTAAAACCTTCCTTTCAAACTAGAGGAGATATAGTTTGCATGCTTCTTCAGATCATGGTTCTGACCTTGTCTCAAAAGGAGAACAGAAGCAGCCTCTGAGGTGGACAGTGTCCACGTTACTCAAAGACATACAGTTCAATGAGAGTTTTAAGAATTCACTAGTAAACCATAAAGCTGGAGTCACTTGTTGTTGATAAGCCAGACTTTTTTACTGATGACACATGCTCTAGTTTCAGTTTTCACGTGTATTTTACAGTGTATTCCTATGCAGAACAGATTGTAACAATCTGACATCAAAATGGAAAGGCGAGAATAAAGTGACAAGGACCCCGTGTAACAAGTCTTTAGGTTTCTGGCCACAAATGAGAAAAACTGGCTTAGTCATTTGCTGCAATGTGATTCTCTGACATTAATTGAGAATCCAGACTTGGTTCCTTGCTTGAAAACGCTCATAGGAAAGAGCAGCCACATATGTCCACTTCAAGGACCAGCTGTAATTACCATGTTATTTTAGCCTTTTTTTCCTGGTATACTACTAGCTACACTTCGCTTGGTGCAGCAATACTAGAAGCTTTACGATGCTGCCACAGTAATGTGACCCAACCTCGATCAAGTCTTCTCTAAGGATGGTGGTCAGGTAACCTGTTATTTCTCTTGCTATCACTGAAAGATTGGCTACGTTTTCAGGGCTAATTTGTGTTTCTGAGATCAATTTGGACACCTGCCTAATGGAGAGGTATTAGGGTGTACGTTACCTGAGTCTTTTAATCCTGCAGACATAAGCAAGGAAAGTTCTGCTTTAATTTTAATGGTTCTAATTTATGCACCAAATTTTCTGTGTTGGGGCAGAGTTGAGGGAGGGGAAGCATGGTAAAGGTAGGCACAGGGGAGCTCCTGGACAAAGATGTTCCTTTGATCATAAAATCCAACTGACAAGGGGAAATACCTGACCGACTCAAAAGCATTAGTCTGCATATAAATATCATAATACAGTACTTTTTGCATGGGATTATTACGTTTGCCTTTAGTTTATTGCCTAAGCTGCATTTTGTTCCATGCTTTTGGTGTTTCAGCTGCATGGTAACTGTAGCATTTATTCTTGAGACTTGCTGGTGGTGGTACTCTGCAGGACCAGTTAGCTAAATGGATATAGGCGCTGCCCCCGTTCATATCTGATTGTATGAATGTCTGTCATGCCTCCTTCATCCACGTTTTAGTTTCCTTTAGATGGAAAATACAGCTGCATGAGCAGATATGAAGCTGCACTGTGCCTCTGTCAGGCTGCTGGTTGTACTCCACTGTTAGGCGATGCCGCAGGAGGAATTTGTCTTTTTGGTGTGCCCTAATATTTGAGATGCATTTTGTATTCAAATGTGAATTGCGGTACTGCTGCCTAGTTGGTTCTGGTGCAGATAAGGATGAAATGGAGATGACTGGGTGAGATGCAAAAGCAGAAATATGAAGGAAAAAATGTTCTAGATAAGTTACTTTTTACTGCTTTTTTTCAGCTGTGGTTTCATGAGCTTTTAATATGCTACCCAGCGTGATAGGTTTACCTGCTTAAAATGTTCAATAATCATGAAATAGGCAAGTTGCAGAATGTGAGAGGTAACATCTCTTTCTGTTATAAAATGACATTCAGTACTCCTGTTTATCTGTCTTGCTGTAATTTATTCTACTCATTCCTTATTTAATATAGTTAGGTTTATAGTCATCATATAGTCATCACCAACTATGCAGTATTTTCAGTGGACACATAACAAAAAACAGACTTTTCTCTTTCTCTTGTTTTTCTCTGGTTAAGCTCCTATGTGATTACAACTCTTCGGGTCTTAGTATCAGAGAGAATGCTACATTAATAGGTTATAAGGGAAGTATCCCAAACAAATTCTTACAGGATGTGCCTGGATCTTCCACTTAATCTCACTTTCCAGGTTTAGCAGCAAGGTGCAGTGTTGTATATGACTCCATCCAGAAGACTGAAAAAATATTCTTCTTTCTTTCTCCTCTTCCCACGCTAACTGGGGTTTCATAGGCTAACAGGAATTTTGGAAAAGGAAAAAGTGCTTGAGAGGAAGCTGAGAGAAGTTCAGGTTTTACCTTTTGAGCTGTGTGAATACAGCAGTTCCTGTTTGACAATTTCTCGTCTTCTGTTTTTTTCCAGGAGACTTTACAAAACACTTTGTTGCCTGTGCTACTTTGAAATCTCTTTTGCTGTGAATACTGTACTGAAACAAAAAGAAGTGCCACAAATGGCAGCCTTTTCTCATTCTTCTTTCATGCCCTTTTCTTCTCTCCTTCACTCATATGCCCTTTTTTTGTACAAAAAAAAAATCGCGCCCTACCTTTCTATTCTCTGAGCATGTATGCACTGTTCAGCCTCCTTATTCTTTGTGTTTGTACCTGGCCCATTACTTTCTGTCTATCTGATTTTTCTCTTTCTGATTTTGATAAAACAGTTTGGTCTCTGTTTCAGCCTTCACCACTTCCAGATTTTCAGGTTTTATTCTTTTCTTCCCCCAACTGCCAGTGTTTTCTTCCCACAATTTTTATATTTTATTTTATAATTTCACAACACTTCAATTTTACAGTCAGTCGACTGCTCTTCAGAAAGAGTAATGTAAAAGCTATACAGGCACCCTCACTATTAGGAAGGAGTTACTGTACATATATCAATAGTGGTCCTTTACTGTGCATCACTTGTCTTTATTGCAGCAGCCACAGTATTTCCAAAGAACTCTGAACTTTCCTTTTTTCAGCTCCTGACAACCTTTTGTGGCAGGCTCACTTAAACCACTCAGATTTGATTTTGCTGAACTGTTCAATTTAAAGAGAACAATGAAAGATGGAGATATATTTTTTTAAATAGTATTTATTGTATTATGAAGGACATCTTTGAACAGAGAATTATTTGCACATACATATATTTATATGAAAGTTCTCTCCTGTTTAATTTGGGTCCTGGTAAAAATTAAACAGTTATATGTAGTATTTTAGAAATAACACCTGCATATTACTAGCCTGCCTGAATATAGAGATAAAACAAAGGAGACTGTGGAGAAATGAGAAAAAAACAAATCTTTACCAAAGTTAAATATGCTGATGAGGTTTATCAGGAAACCATGGAAAACTGTAACATGAGGAACGCCTTCCTGAACCCTTTCAGTTTGGTCAGGGTATTCTGACTAGTGTATGGATTTAGTCTGGCTTTTTCAGCATTTCAGTGAGGGAGAGGATTGCTCTTAGAAACTGGCATCAAGCTCACAGACGTGACCTTGCGTAGAGGCCCTTCTGTTTCTCCTGCCCAAAAATGAGCCTAGGTAGTCTGAAGGAATTTGTAAATGCTTGCAAGGGAAAATTGTGATGCTAATTAAGGGAAAATTGTTCATAGGACTTCTTGGGCTTATAATCCTTTTCTCTTTATGTGTTGTCTTTTCTGGAGAAAAAGTAAATTGTTTGTTTATAAGCTGATTTTCGTGGATAATCCGTCAATGTTGCTAGATTCTGGAGAAAAAGCCTAACGTAACATCTGAGAAATGGCAACCCAGAAATTGACCCAAGTCAATGATTTGTCAGATGAGATGGATCCTATGAGAGCGAAGCGCAAAAATGAGTGCTATCTTCCATGGAGGATATGTGACTGGGACAAATAGGAGTTGAAGGCGCAGCTTAATGAATAAACTCAATACTTCTAAAGCCCTCACTTAAAATTTAACTTTCTCCCTTGGTTATTGAGTTCTACATAAAAAGGCAGTGTTGCTTTGAGTGTTTGTGGTGTTTTTGACTCATGAGAAACAGAACCATTCACTGAGGTGTACATAGATTAAATATCATTTCACTTTGTATTTTATAGCTGAATTGCCTAGCTCTTTATATTTTCACGGACGTTTCAGGTTTCAAACTAAGAAAACGGCGCATCACGAATGAGCCTACTGGAGGAACCGGCAACTGCCCTCACCTGCTTGAAGCCATCCCGTGCGAGGAGCCCTCCTGCTACGAGTGGAGAATCGTGGGCTTAGAGGAGTGCGTTCCCGACAACGAGAAGCCGTGCGGGCCCGGGACTCAAGTTCCTGCTGTCGTCTGTGTCAACAGTGATGGTAAGATGCTTTTTTCCTCTTTCCTCATAGGCTACAGTGAGGACACTAAAGTGTAATCTGACAAAATAATTTTTTTTTTGTTTTCAGCTTTCTCAGTCCTTAAGACAAAGCCTTCTGGCATAGAAATGTTAGCTGTGACAGGCCCACGAGCCGCTATAGTATCACACTCTCTGTTTGCCCCATACACCATAGGTTTACAAAGAATCCAGAAAAGACTTTGAAAAGAGTAAATAGAAAGCAGCTATTTTTTTTTTCAGTAGGTCAGACTCATGCCTGCAATGGCTTGACTGAATTCCCTGATGTAATCCCACTAACAAACCTGATCCACTGAGTCCAAAAACAGATAAAGTGTGAGTAAAGTAAGGCGCGTGGCAGTTAAGTATAGCTGGAAGAAAAATGATAATGTATTTGTTAAAAAGCGTAGTTTGCTGTGTGTTACGAAGTTGGTTTGACAGTCCAGACTTCAGGAGGTCAAGAAGAATACCACCATTATTCAGTCATCTTTTATGAAACAATAATTTAAAAAAGACTTTTTGCATGACATTGTCATAGAAGCCGATTTTGAAAGCTGCTTACAAAATACCTTAATCTACACGAGACTCATGAATTAATGTTGGGAGCATATTCCTTCTTCGTTGGTAATATTATAGTCTACTCAGAGCAGCACGTAAATTAAAATAATTGTGTTGACTGCACTGTAATTATGGTAAGAGACTTCCAGCTCCACATGCAGGTTAAATAAGGGGACATCTCTGGTGAGTGTTTAACAGCAACACAAAATATTTTGTAATTGTATTGCTCAGAAAGAATAAGATTTGATTTTAGAGACTTTACAGCTTGAGCTGTTACGCTCAGGAATTTGGGTGAAAATTGAGTTTTGGGGTTTAGACTGAAAACCTCAGAGTTAGTGTAAGCTCTGTTTTTCTGCAGATACCTAAGAGAATTGGTAACAGTTTTTACAGCTCAGAGAGATTAGCCTGGAATGACCATATTGAATGTATTACGCTTTATGTCCCTTGCACAGCAAATATCCATTCACACAGTGTAATCCTTTCTTGGCAATAATAATGAAACTATTTGAGTTTTTTTTTTAATGCATTGTCAAATGAAAAATGGCCTTTTCCTCATAAGTGAAAGTATTTCCCGAATAATTTTTATTTTTGTCTAATACTAAACAGAATCTATTTTAAAAAATGTACTTTTTTTCTTTACTAGATTTTGGATAGTTCAATTTACCTGTCATTTTGTGGGGTGGTGTTTGCTCACATGTCTAATTTGTTACTGCATAGTAATATAGACATTTATATTGACTATAATTTTTTGTAACTATAATTTATTGTAACCAAACCATAATTTCTCATAACCATTTATTGTAATGGATATAGTAGTTCTTTCTTGTTCTACTTCAGACTTGCTGTATTTCCTGTCTTCACGGCATGGGCTTTGCTTTGGCCAAATTTGACTTGGAAGACTTGTCATTCAATTTTTCCTCCCAATATAAATCTTTTAACTAATTCTTGTCTACAACTTTTTCAGTTGTTTGGCAGTATGCATTGCTATAAATATGCATATGCCAGCAATCTGTCGTAGAAGGAGTAACAAGGGCCTTCTACCATGTGCCTGTCAGTCTTTATATCTAAATAGTTGTGGACACAATATCAATGAAAAGAGAAAACAAATTGCAATTGTGTTTTTTGTTCCAAAGATCCAATCACCCACAAAGAAATATGGTTGATATCTTCTGACAGAGTACTGAAGCAGTGGAGAATAAAGTAGTGGATTACCTCCTGCTCTTCCTTTTAACATTTTTCTTCTCCTAGGAAAGTGATCATAAAGACTGTGATCTTCACCAAGTTGCTCTTGCTTAGGTTTTTCCTGAGAAAGATTAGCATGGTACAGTGGCAGCAGACAACGTAAGGAACCACTGACCTCAGCTCGCTCTCTCCTTCTCTCCAAGCTACCTCTGCTCAAGCATCTTCTTAGTTTGCCTCCCACAACAAGCACCCTGAAAATCCTGTAGTCAACTCTCAATTGCTCCCCTCAGCACACACCAGCTCCCATCTAGTCCTTCATCTTCCTCCCACCCTGCCACATATACCCCTTTTCACCAAACACTCTGGTGGCAGGGGTCCAAATTCTGGTCTGCCAAGTCAAGTGGAGCAGTCTGGTGGGTTTTGCATCTGTCCCCACAAGCAAGGCAGTCTGGCCTAAAATAAAGCTTGGCGAGTGCTTGTCTTGCAACTGTGCAACTGTCACAAGACCATGGTTTAAATTAGTCATCATATGGAATCTGGTGTTAGTCCATGTTCTTTGAGCACTTCTTGGAGAAGAGTGCATTGACTGTTAATTAAAGGTTGTGTGTTACAAATGATAATGATATGTTGCTACAATTTTGATCTAAAAGGTAGAATGAATTTCATGCAGTTTCATAGGTAGGAATGATTGTGAAGGGAAGCAATATGTGGATAAGGATTAATTATCACTGAAGTTTGCTATGTTACCTAGACTGAACTAATTTTTGCTTACTCTCTTTGCTCTCGTCAAGATATTTTTTATGAGTTCATGTGAATTAATTAGCAAGTCATAAATCCGTGTCTGCATAGGAAAAGTTGGATCAAAGAGACTTAAGTACATTAAAACAAAAATGTATTTTCCCTTAGGCTTCTGTGTTATGAAGTGAGAAGACTCATGTCTTAATTTTCAGAATAAGCATTATACTGTAAATGCTTTAACATAAGATAAACCCCACACTGATGAGTGTCTTCTCTTTCTGTTAATTATAGCATCATTATATATGTTTGAAGCATAATTAGTTGGGACAGCGTGCCTCAACCTGAGGTCTCCTGTATTACAATTAGAATCAGTTAGCAGTGTTTGTGAAGTTATTTTATGTAACTGGAATGAGCTTCTCTGTTCAATTTGTTGCAAAGATAAGAATCATTACAGCCTTTGAGACAGTACCAAACAATAGATTATTCTCCTGTGTTGTTGCTAGGGGCCTATGACTGTCGTTCTCTTTCCACAGTGGATTGCAGTAATCGGAATTTTCATTCAGGCTGACAAAATATGACAGTCAGTACCCCAAGCTGTCATTGCGGAGGCTGTAATGAACTTTGATGTATTTTATTATATAAATGGAACTTCAGTATTCTACTGTGGCAAGAACCTTGTCAGAATATTTATTCCTCGTCTATCTTCCAGGGAGTTTTAAAAAGGAACTTCTTTGGGTGAAAATCCTCTTTTCAATTGTGGAAGCTTCAAAACTGGGCATGAACTGTTCAGAATTCTTATAACAAATGTTATTAAATTTAAAATTAATATTACTTCAGCTATTTATATATATACTATATATGTAAGATATATATATTGCATAATATATACACACATACATGTACACACACACAATTTCTGTATTATTTAAAGGCCTAGTCTGTAGTAGGTTGACCGCGATAGTCTATAGAAAGTTAAACACTTCTCCGTTCTGTAACAGATATATTAGTGCTACTAATATGTAAATAGGGCAAATTCAGTTTTAACACCATTTCCTTAAAATCTGCAGCTTAACCACCGCTGAAATAACTAGGAATTATAGATCATTCATTAAGTATTTTTAGTTTTCACCTTTATGCTGAGCTTTGTAGCACAGGTAGCAGCAATGACAGTGGCCTTTGTAGCGTTCTTCTGGTCTTCAGATACTAGCCTGAAATTAGCTTCTCGTTTTGTATGAATATGCAAATAATATATTGATTCACAGTCTTTATGATATAATGGGCTTACATCATTGCATGTATTACTCTGGATAAAATAGGTCTCACTTTTGAAGGATAAATTTTCTGTGGCTCTTGTTCAAGGTCAGTAATTGTTGGGTTACAGTCAGCTCCACAGGGGAAAGAGAAGGACTTACTGCTGTTCTGCTGTCTCACAGCCCTTAGAAATGACTGGTCTTGGAAGAGGGAGCCATGGCAACAGAAAGGCTCTTCGTGTGTATGCAAATTGCTGCAACTCTTTGAAGCAGCAAAATTGTTCCTGAAGAGTTCTAGGCAGACCTGTGTGTGTGGCTGAGTGCCATGAGCTCTGGTCTGGGTGTATGAGGACGCAGGTATGGTCTTTGGTGAGACTGGAGTACAAATTCAGACCACCAGCAACATTAGCATGTCCTAAAGTAACAAAGATTGGCAGTACCCTATTTGGAACGTTGAGGGGAAAAACAGTAATTTTAGTAGGTGATTTAAAAAAAAAAAAAAGTAGTAGGTGAACTACTCTATTTCATTCAGATATATGGATATGTATATAGTTCAAATGGATTAGTTTACCTACTTTCTGTGGGATGTCTCAAACACTATACTGTCCAAAATCGAAAGGTATGAATCTCATTTACCTATATTTATTCTCAACTAACATGACGGAGTAGAAGTCATTATCATTATCAAGTATATGACAGTCCTACAAAAGTTAATCTCATGATTTTTCTAGAGAGTCAGAATTATTTATTTCTGAAATATTAGTTTTATTCCTTTTACTGAATTTGACTTTGATTGCAGGAAAACATATATTTTAGAAACATGTTTTAAAATTTCTTCTATAGCTTCTTGATTAACATCTGTATTTTGTTTTTTAAGGTTTATTTTGTTACTTTTTACAATTAGCATCTAATTTAAAAATATATGGTAAACTTTAGGAAAGAAACTGAAGATCTGGAGGTGCAACGATTTTCATATAAAAAGTTTTGACTGATTTAAGAATTGTCACTTGTGTGTGTCAATTGTATGTTTAGGGTTTGAATCATATATATGCAAAACAATTCACAGGCAGGAGTTGGTCTTCATTCAGTTTCATAATGGAAAGCAATGACAGAATAGCTGGAAACTTTTTAAATGTTTCTAGGTATAAATATTTTGATTCTTCCACCCTTTCTATTATGTGGATATATGCATTGAACAAAGAAACCATCAATCTAGTTGTATTTTTGAAAATTATTTAAAAAGAAAATATCTAGTTTG